ACACAACCAACAATATCACCACAAGATCAAGAGCCGTTTTACTCGGTATTTACAGTACTTTCGTGATGTCGTAGTTTCTTATATAGTTGCCACCCCTACTTCTGGACTGTGCGTCTTAAACTTTGAGTCTCGAACGGCTTGCAGCGAAAACTCTAAATTGGGGGGGGGAAAGCTTCTCCTCGGTATTTACAGTACTTTCGCACGCAACCCCCGCTTCTGCTCGGTGTGTACAGTACCTTTGGTTATGTTGGTGATGAAAGGTGATGAAATTTGTTTGATTTTCGTGATGTTGGTGATGAAAGGTGTTTGCTCTTTGGTGATGTTGGTGATGAAATGTCTTTGTTTTTTCGTGAGCACACAACCCAGCTTTTAAATTTACTCGGCGCTTACAGTACTTTTGGTGATGTTGGTGATGAGAGGTGATGAAATGTGTTTGCTTTTTTCGTGATGTTGGTGGTGGTGATAATGACGAAGTGTGTTGGTAGGGGGGTGGCGACTAGTACTAGTAGTAGTAGTAGTAGTAGTAGTAGTCGTAGTCGTGGTGGTGGTGGTGGTAGTGGGAGTAGTGGTAGTAGTGGTAGTAGTAGTAGTAGCAGCAGTAGTAGTAGTAGTAGTAGTAGTAGTAGTATACTAACACACATGCATACATACAACATACATACATACATACATACATACATACATACATACATACATACATACATACATACATACATACATACATACAACATATATCCACAGACACACATCCAGATACGCAGTATGTATTACGTGTACATACATACATATACATTCATTCATGCATTCATAGAATCATTCATACATGCATACATGCATACATACCTACATACGTAGTACATACATACATACTTACATACATATACAGATATCTATACACACAAACAAACCCGCGCACACGCATAGTCGGGATTTCGCAGCTGCCAGTTGGAGCCTTCGGATGCTGATGACGACGAAGATTGGCAGGCGACCGACATTGAGGAGCGGGTCCGGGTCAGGGCTCGGTCGGTTCAGGCGTTCTCATTTCGGGTTGAGGCTCTAGGATTCAGGGTTTAGGGTTCAGGGTTGAGGTTTCAGGGTTTAGGGTTCAGGGTTGAGGGTTCAGGGTTTAGGCTTCAGTTTTACTAATTCTTTGCATTGTGGAAGTCAGTGTTCAGGCGATTGCACAAGTCCTGATGCAAAAAAGGGGTTTAGACTGAACGGCTCTGGGAAGTTTTGTTGAAGGCCAGGGCTGTGTAGGGTCGAGTCCATCGACTCCCTGGGTTTCCTTCACTTGACACTGCGGAGCTTGGACTGGCACTTGCGATGCCAGGGATAAGCCGGTTTAGGGTTTAGGGTTTAGGGTTCAGGGTTTAGGGTTTAGGGTTTAGCCAGTTGCAAAAAGGGTTTAGGGTTTAGGGTTTCGGGAACAGCATGCAAGCCACCCAAGACCCTAGACCCCTGCACAAGCCCGAAAGCATCAAGCCACAGAAAGCCCACTCTGCATTCCTGAAGTCGAAGATCCTAAACCCTAAACCTTACCCTCTAAACCCTAAACTCCTGAAGCTTGAAGTCCTAAGATCCTCAACGCAAATCCGCTCGAGGACTTCCGACTCTTCGATTTGATGGAGGAAGACCCGACTGAGCAAAGCGGAAGCTGAGCAAAAGTGGGCCAAAGCGAAAGCCTGGGTTCGACCCTGTGCCTCTGAAAAGGAGTTTAGGGTTTTAGGGTTTAGGGTTTAGGGTTTCAGGGTTTAGGGTTTTAGGGCTTAGGGTTTAGGGGTTCTAGGGTTTAGGCTAAGGGCTTGGAGTCTGGCTGTTTCAGGGTTGAGGGTTGAGGGCTTGGGGTTTCGTTTGGAGCTTAGTGGTTTAAAGGCTTGGGGTTTAGGGGTTTCGGGTGTGCACTGCAGCCTTTTGTCAAAAGAGGGTTTAGGGGTTTCAGGGCGCTGCCTGCCGTAGTACCCAGTGATTCTTATTCAGACAGGGGATCAAAACCTCCTTATCGGTAAAGCCTCGCACTTCGCCGACAGCAGCTTGTCCTATTTCAAAATAACCTTAAACCGTTTAAACCCCTAAACCCCTAAATGCCTAAACCCTAAACGCCTGAAACCTAAGCCCCGAAACGCCGGAAGGAGACCCAGATCTTTGTGCTCATGTCTCCAATGCCGCAAGACTCTTTCAGGATCCGAGACCTCAGCCAGAGTTTTGCAAGTGAAAATCCCTAAACCTTCAGCCTTTCAAGGACCCCAACGTATCGTACCTTTATAGACTTATAGATAGACTTATAGTACCCTTAAAGGAAAACCGATGCCCCCACAAAGAGCTCATGGGCTTATGATTCCGATTGACATCCGAGCCCCACAACTCCCACAATGTCAAGCCATATGGCACAGATTCGGGGAACATGTTTGACTCTGACAGAGAACCTTGCCCCGAATTGACATCACCCAAATGTCGTAGCTTTAGATGCCACCTCAACCGAAACGTTTTTTTTTTAACAAATGCAGCTACTTGCCCAAATGGCTTCAGCCGCTTATGCGCATCCCTTCGGTATTGCTTGTGGCCCTGGGCTGCGCGGCACCCGCGGGCAAGTTTTACCGACCTCCCAGCTGTTACCATTGCTTACAAGAAGAGGCAGGGGTTATCTAGGGGTTGAGGGTTGAGGGTTTAGGGGAGAATAATACAATATAGGGGCCTCAATGATTAGGATAGGGTTTAGGGGTATGTTATACTATAATTACAATAAGGAACCCACGATAAGGGACCCCAAAACCCTATTCTAATTATTAAGGCCCCTACATTAGGGGTCGGAGCAATTCGTAGTAATATTCCCTTTAGAGTCCCTCGACGACTTCTTATGCTAGACCCCCGGAAAACCCTCTTCTAATCATTTCCACTGCCTGATTTAGTAGCTTCAGCTGTTCTTACCAGCCCCTAAACCCTAAACCCAAAACGTCTGGCCCCAATTTTGGGGCCCAGAGTTTGGGGCGGTTTAGTATAGAAAATTAGGAGCATTTAGGAGCTATCCTAACATCATACCCGAAACTAGTGCTCCTACGCCCTGATCCTTAATCCCTAAACTTCCCCTTCAGGCTTGCCTTAAAGGAGCCTTAAAGGAGCCCTTAAAGGGCTCCCGATGGATTAGCATTGGCAGTTCTTCAGTTGCACCGAAACGCGCTATGCTAGACAGGGTTCCCTCTCCATGTACTTGTACTTTGAGCTGAGGGAATCAGATTCCAGAAGCATGGGCCCCCTATCGTAAGCTTCCAGCATAAAGACTGTTGCATTTATTCCCAGAGTTTTGGCTCAGGTGTGGGGTTTTACTCATTTAGGATTTAGGATTGTGGTTGGGGGTTTCTCACACTCAGAGCCCAGCGGCAACAAAAGGTTTAGGGTTTAGGGTCTGAACCCTAAACCCTTACACCCTAAACCCTAAACCCTACTAAGCCCCTAAACCCTAAACCCCTGAGCCCTAAAAGTCTGGGAGGTCCGAGAACTGCTTGCTACAGCCCCGGCATACCTCCTGCATGTGGATGGCCCAAGGAGGCCATGGAATTCAGGCAGGGGCACGGGGTCAAGAACTCGTTTGGTCTGGGGTTCAGGTTTTCGGATTTAGGGTTTAGGCGTTCAGGGGGTCCAGGGTTTAGGGATGTTGAGGGGTTCGTTCAGGGGAGTGATATCAGAGACCCGTAACCCGAAACCCTGTAGCCCAATACCCCCGCACCTGTCGGGGAGAGCAAGCCTCAAAAACCCAAAACATATCAACCAACCACAACAGAAGCTTCTACAGAAGACACCACAACCACCCACAATCCCTGAACCCAAAGCCCCGAATGCTTGTGTGTTTAATGTCCCTAAACCCTCCCTAAACTGCTGACTTCGAGACAAGGTGGGCCCTGGAGTTCCAGTGAGCAGATCTCCTGCCTTCAGAGACCAAGGACATGGTTTAGGGTTTAGGGTTTAGGGTTTAGGGTTTGGGTGGGGGGGTCATTCCGAGACATGCCGATACACAGGACGCCATTAACAAACAAAGCAAATAAAAACCCACAACCCCCAACTCGCAACCTTCAACCCTACACGCGAAACTAGGCTAAACTATCTACTTCTCTGCCAGAAGCTTTGGAAGACTGCGGCTCGCTGATTGCACTGCACCCACTGTGCGGAGACCGGGCCAAGCTTCGTAAGTTTTTCTGTGCTGTTTGTTTTGTTTTTGGTGGTGGGGTTTCGGAGTTTATAGGGTTGAGGTAGTCTTTTTGTTTGAGGGGGTTCTGGTGTAGGTGTTTAGCCTGGGCCTAAGAGGGCTGAAGGCCTACTTGATGTGGAGGATGAGGACAAGGCTTGCGCAGGGGTGCAGGCCGTTTTTGTTTGGAGTGGGCTCGCCATTCGCGTTGAGGGTTTAGTGTTTAGCCTGACTTCGAGGTGATTTCGGGGATGTTCCAGAACGGGGATTCCTGTTTCAGTGTGATCCTTCTGCCCCTTCTTGACTCGCTTGAACTGCATGTCCCTCTTACCCTAACGATCAATGCAGCCAAACAGCCTTATGTAGCCAGGGTGCCTGGGCCCACAAACGTGAACTCCTCACCTCTTGGGTCTCTTAAACCTAAAGCTCTACAGATTTCGAAGCCTTTAGCCCCTTGTCACCCGAAACCTCCAAGCACCAAAAACCCGCAAGCACCAACCCTAAAATACATTTTTAAAACGATACCAGGCAACGCAAAACGCCTCAGCAACCTTGACATAAACAAGACTAGCTTCAAGTCCCAAACTCTTAAAATTTGCGCAAGCCTATAAAGTGTTACTAAACAACAGCTGATCAACACAGTCAAAAACTCTGGCACCAACACAACAGACGACAAACGGAGCGTTTGCACTCCAAATCATAAACACCCCCGAACCCCAAACCTTGCCTTTAGGACGAAGCCCTGAACCCGAAGCCTTAAAGACCAAACCATACCAAACCCTAAATTACTGTCACCGCAAACCGTAAATCCTTAAATTAAACCTAGGCCTACAGTGGACTGAACACTAGCCCCCATAAACCCCATAAGCCCCACAATCACTAAGCCCAGAGACATATGTGATACTTGGGGGGGACCTGATGCGGGCAGAAAAAGAGGAAACACACACAACATGAGTCTGTGCGTGTATATATATATATATACGCATATGCATCTAAATCTCTCTCTCTCTCTCTATATATCTATATATATATATACGTGTCCATGCATATGTATATATATATATATGTAAATGCCCTTTATGTATATATATATATATAAATACATACATACATAACACACACACACACACATTTCGAACGTTTATTTATTTGGGACAAGGCCCGAGCTTCTCATCGACTTGACCTTTCTTTTGCCACCGGGCCTCTTCTCTGAGGCCGCAGCAAAGCCGGGACCCAACCCCCGTAGATGAGGAACCCTAGACCCCAAACCCTAAAACCTAAAATTTAAACCCTATAAACCCTAAGCCCTATATATATATATAT